GCTGAAACGTGTCGTGGATTATTAATCAGCACAGCAATGCACTTGCGTCGACCGATGGAGTGGTAAAATCCTGTCGTTTTGTACTTAAACGAAGAATTATGCGCTGGCTGTCACGGCAATTCGCTCGACACCCGCCGTCGCGCCAAGCCACCGTCGGAGTAATTGCAACGTTCCACGCGTACAAAATTCATCGAGTATTTTCCGGTATGCAAATAAGATGTGTATTTGTTCAAACGTGACAAACTCAAAATACAATGAGTGACAAAATACCAGCTAGTAAGGGTTGACAGGAGTGATAAACCAAGTCTCATTGTTAGTTGACCTTAGAAATCTCCCGCAGCGAAGCTCTCTGGATTTAAAATGACGTATATATATATATATATATTTACTTATTTACTGGTCACACGTTGATACGCACATTCACACACGGACATTATTTCGCCCCGCGATATAATTTGCCGTGCCAAAACGTCGCGCGCTCTTCTTTTTTGCCTCTTCTTGCATCTTCCGGGATGGTATTCAGGAAGGATGAGTTGGGAAGATGAATTCCGATAAGCATCTCGCTGTCAAATCATTTTTACGCGTGCCTTGAACAAAGTGCACATTGCCCATTAATGCGCGCACGCTTGGACGCAAAGTGCGGTTTAATTACGGCATGATAAGTACCTACATATGCGCTTCTCGACGATGATAATCAGCGCCGTCTTAATAACGCATGTCGTTATTCAACCACTTAATACGTCGAGTGCAGACATATTATACAATTTATAAAATATTGACTACTTGTTATTAAAATAACTAATAACTAATCTGTATTCACATACTGATAACTTATCGAGGAAATTTATCAGATACATCTTTAACTCCACAGAAAATTCGACAGATTCTGTTTCAGATAATCTACAATACGTTAACATATAATTAATTAATTAATTGATTTGACCATTTTTGCTTGTCGTATCAATTTTTTAATGCTTTTTCTACGATTGTGCAGGATTTTTAAATCTGCATTTTTATCAAAAATGTAAAAAATCTTCGAAATATTGATATGAGCGAGTTAATCAACGTCGGTATCCGGCCAACCTGTTGCGACATATGTTACGTACGTTGGCTCACGCATCGATACTCATACCTGCCAGCATACGTTTGCGCACCATATGTGTCGCCGATTATATTCCGTTCGGCAACCCCCCACATGACCCCTAACGAAATAGGCGTATGCAAGCGTAAATTCTCTCCCTCGAACTCTCTTTATCTCCCTACTCATTCCGGAACACAGAAGTATTTGTGCATTACATGTGTGCGAGCCGGTGTCGACGTGCCGACACGTCAAAATCCATATTTTCGTGGCTAACCTGCACTGCACGTGTCAGACGACTTGCACTTAACAAAAATATTTTACAAATTTCGTTGTTATAACGATATAAAATTTATATCAATGATTTATATTTTTATATAATTAATATAATATTATTAATAACTGTCGTATAAAAATTATCAACATCATGAAGTTATTGGAAATTAATTAAGCAATTAATTCTTATCGTAATTATTACATAAACTATATCTTTTTTACATTTATAAAGCGATACTTAAAACTTGCAATAATATAAAAAAAGGCTATCGTATATCCACGAGATGATCAAGCTCATTACTTGATGTCCTTATTGATATAAGTAATCTCAATGACGATGTATTTTCGCATGGATGCAGTTATCAAGGACAATCGTTATCGATCTTGTCAGCACTGCCTGCAGTTAATTAGAGATCTCAAAAAATTCTCTTTGTGTCATTATATCCAACCAATTATTTCGCAAAATTAAAGTATTTAATTCTACAATCTCCAAAAACAATGAGTTTGCCACTTTTATACAAATTATGATATATTACGTAACATAAAAATATTTCACAAGAGTATTAAAAATGGAGAGGCAACTATTATTACGTTTCTTACTTAAAAACTCGTTAAATCGTTTACGGTAACATGTAATCGACACAAATCAACACCGGTATGTTATTAGAATAACGTATTATAGAACAAAACCGCTCTAAACTGCTTCCATTGTGAAAATGATGGAGAACAAGAGCCCAGAAATTGTAACAACTGCACACACAGCGCACCCATAGTCCATACTTCATCCGACCAACCACAGAAAACCCCTAATCTCTATGATCGCACAGGACAATGATCCGAACGATCTAACATCTAAAACCATGCCCGAGGCGCGAGACGACTGCAACGCGCGCTGGATCGCGCAGTTGCATCGGAGCAAGGGTTGACTCGAAGAACACAACCGTGGCATCGTTCATCTCACCACTCGGCACGGTAATTAATTCCATGGTAATTAGTGGCAAAGTGTTTGGCCGAAAAGAGAGGAAGAGAGGCCGAACATTGAGTGGCCCGAGAATATAATTATGGAATAAAATCTATCTCTCCGAAATTCAAGACAATAAGGCTATTACGAGTGTCCAAGAAAATTTCGCTCGATAAATTAACCGTTTCATAAATTCCGGTGGAATAAAATTTCTTATTTTTATTGTATATTTCAATTGTATAAAAAGAAAGTCTGATAACGATAAATTCCATATTAAAATACAGGTAATTAAGTCTACCTGTAAGATCTTTTAATATTAATATAAGCTGTAAGTAAGTAATTCTACAACATAACACGCGTATCATTCATATTTCCAGCGTTTCCAGAGGTGCTTGTCTTTTTTTTGCATTTCTACCGGAAACCCTTATCGGGAGTTAAAAGCGCGTATCTATTATCTATCTGTCGAACTCCCGCTTGACGTCTATTTATTCGTGTAGAAATGTCCAGCGGGATCCTGCCGCCCTATAGCGCTCCCTCGCGCATCGCCTTTTCGACAAGGAAAAGGACGGACTTGTGAAAAGAGACGGAAAGAACCGTCGGAATCAAAAAAGAAAAAAAAAAGGGGGAGATATACGGGGAGCATATACCTGTTCCACGCGCGAGCACGCATACTGGCAAACGCGCGCACGTAAACGTGGTTCCCCGCATGTATGCGCGCGTACATCCCCCCCATACGAGCGCCCTTAAGCACGAGACTCGAGCAAGCACGCGTGTGCCCTTCTCGTACACGCACGCACGTATGCACGCACGTATGCAGACGCACGCTCCGTTCGGTGAGGATAAAACCGGACGAATGGAACGGGGGAATCGGCGGATGGGAGTAGGCGCGCGCCACGAATGTGAGGAAGGGAGGACGGCTCGCGTCTCTTCCCCTTCCTCTTTGTCGTCATACATGTCTTCTTTACTACTGATGGCAATGAGCAACTTATCAATGAGTCCGCAAATAAATTTTCTCGGGAAACATGACTTCCCCGTGAGATAATCGAAGCGATATTGTATTTCAAGCGGAATTAACTAACGTCGGCGTATGTTTATATCTTGTGCGTCACTTACTCTGTCTTTCATATAATTCCTTATAATAATTCTCATAATTCAACATGTATCGCGTAATTCTATTAGCTATCAATTAAGGAACTCGATCGATACAAATGTTATTACAGATACAAGAATTTGATTCTCAATTTGACGGGCTGCGTTTAAGTGCACGGTCTGCTTCGCTATTTGTCGCGCTTGACTTGACGCGAGATACAATCGTGTTTCTTGCTTTTTTTTATCGCACCGAGAAATTTTTTGAAAGATAAACTATATTCTGGACTTTTTCCACATTCTGCGATAGCTGCAATTTATAATAAAATGTGTGTTCCATAAAGACGACACGTGCTACAGTCATGCCCATCACTATGCTATTCTACCGTCGCTACTCCTCGCTTTCCCCCCCCCCTCGCTCCCCTCACCCCACTGTTGCAGTCGTCTCGGGTACTCGTATGTTCCATGCCACCGGGCTCCTTTACCCTCCTCCGATACCTCTTCGTCTTCTGCACAGCTTCTCTCCAGCCGCACAGACCTCTCCATCTCCTCCCACTCCCCCTTGTTCCTCATCATTCTTCCTCTTCTTCTTCTCCGATTTCTGTCCTCCTCGTGTGTTCTACACCTCGCTCTCTCGCCATCTCACTTCGTCGACTTGCCCAGGTCCCCGGACCAGCTTTTCTTTCTCCCGGTAACTGTTCAAATTTCGATTCCCGAGACACTCGCTGGGCCGGTGGGGATGTGTGGACCCTTATACATAGCAGTGTTTCTCAACAACCCGGCTGGTCCTATGTAGACATTGGGCCTCACTGATGTTTAATTACGGATTTAATAACCTTTTTATAAATAAATTTAATTACTTTTTTTCATAACTTTTTTATAAATAAATTGCACACATATAACGAATAAACTTGTATTAAAGTCGACACGTAAAATATTTTTTAATCTGTTTTACATTCTTTGTATCAAAATTTATTTCTTTTCTTCTTTCATTTTCTTTTAAGCTTCTCTTAACGATATTATATTAATTTTGAATTTTTTGTTAACATTTGTTTATCGAAAAATATATGCATTTTTTACGAACCGTGTGTTATACGACGACGAGATCTAAATTTCAATAGAGAAGATAAAAGAATATATTCAATTTTTTTATATTCTCTCGCGTGCGTTTGTGATTTATTCATGGAAAAACAGAAAAAAATATTTGTATCTCTTCTAAATGGGATTTATATCTCTTTAACGTTAGCGCGTCAACTATTTCGAGCACACGCCAATGATAAATCTTATCATACCGATAACGTATCCTGAAAGGTAAATTGGCAAACAGATCGAGATGGTAGCGGCGTACTAGTACGAAGACGATCGAAGATGAGAATCTCGGGCGGCGTAGGGCCTTTGGGACCGCAGTGGTGGGGAATCACAGGGGGTATGAGGCACTACAGGCCGGTGAGATAGGGAGGGGGAGAAGAAGATGGGGGGTTTAGGACCCGAGATCGAGTACGAGGGCTTGTAGAGGGGCTTGGCGCGTGCCCCCTTTGGCTATATAAGGCCCTGCACCCTCATTGGCTAGGCATTTCGGGAGCCAGATTCGTACTGAGAGCATCGAGGGTGCGGTTTCAGTTTTGTTCCCACGCTTCGCTTTCCGGTCGGTAGAGTTTATTTAAACTTTACGCATTCGTCCGTTTCGTCCTTACGATCGTGTGCGACATCACGAGGTGATTAAAAACGAGGCGTGCATCTGGACTCACCTCGCCCAAGTTTTTCCGATACGTAATATCGAGCAGTGTACTCGACGAAGGTTAGGCTTGGCACGCGCTGTTACAACTCCTGCTCCCAGGTGGTGGGGGGATTTGTACCCGTGATATGACCTTAGTGGGGCCGAAAGAGGAGAACGTCCTACCCATCATGCTGAGTGTGCAGCAGCAACATCACCACCATGGCCTTCACGCCACTTCAAGTTCGCAAACACACCGCGGCAATGTGATTGTCTCCACTGGCAGCATGCCGACCGGCAACAATACCCTACAACACGGATGTAAGCGGTCCAAGATCTACGGTCAGACTGCCGGGCCGTACGGCACGGTGCCGCATCAACCAGCGTCAGTGGCCCGGCGAAACGCGCGAGAGCGCAACAGGGTAAAGCAGGTAAACAACGGATTCGCCACTCTACGACAGCACATACCGCAGACAGTGGCGCAGGCGCTCGGAAGCAGCACAGCCGGGGCTCACAGCGGATCCAGAGCAGGTAGCAAGAAACTATCAAAAGTCGAAACTTTGAGGATGGCGGTGGAGTACATCAGGAGTCTTCAACGCCTTCTGGAGGAGCACGACGGCGGCTCCGAGTCCAGTGGATCCTCACCCATTTCTTCGACGTCCTCCAATTCGCCCGCGTGTGGTTCCGAGAACGGGATCGGCTCCGATTCCAACCTTCATTCGGCAGAAATGAGACTACGAGGTAGCATCAGCGGAGAGATCCGTCATCATGGCAGTCCACACAGAACTGACATGCACCGGCATCAACATCTCAGGCAGAATTCGAGCCCGACTTTCGTTCCAACGCCGTGCTCGGACGCGTCGAGTTCACCAACGCCAAGCTTCGTCTCGGAGACCTCGTCGGCCGGCAGTCAAGGTTACGGCACGTCAGGCACGCTCTACGCGACACATTCCGACAGTTACGACAATTACGAACCGATGAGCCCGGAGGACGAGGAGTTGCTGGATGCCATATCCTGGTGGCAGCAGAGCCAATGAGCACTTTTACTACGTTGATTCTGCCTTTGCGTCCTTCTCAAGGTTGGTGTCGTGATCCGTTGTTTCTCTTTTTGTAGTTGTAACTTGCGGGTCATTCACGTTGCGAGGCTTGCGGCCTTGAACGAAGCTGCATCGCGTGTCGCAATCGTGAATGTCAGTCTCATCTCGTTGTACTTTTTCAAAGATTCTTTGTGCATTAGTTTATTGTGAGTGATATCGTGTCAAACGTCATTTCGTTGTAATTTTCAATCTCGTATATTTTTATTCTCTTGAATCTAAATTTTATCTTTAATTAAAAAAATTTTACGATAATATTTTATTGTTAAAATCCATAAACAATGAAACTGGATAACTGATAATTGATCATTGTTGAATTATATTAATACATCGACGCTCAATAATTCAATCGATTCACCCGATTCTTCGTATTTTTTTTCTTTCTGGTCAACCACCACCCTCGGTTGACAGTCGTAGGTATATTTCGTTTAAAGACGAATACTCGCTATGTTACCTATGGAAGCTCAAAGGAGTTCCGACTAAAATTGTGACCTTGCCTTCTTACAATGCGCGCGAACCCTCGCTGGTTGAACCCTGTCCATTCAAATCGCAGACCCATTCAGGGAGCAGCGAATATACATTCGAGGAGCGACGCTTTTGTACCACGATTTCTTTCACAGTACGTTAATGCGCATACGTGTGTACGTGAATGTCGGTCCCTTTTCTACCGTTTTTTTCTTCGACCCTCCTCCCGACTCCGCGCCCTTCAGCGGCATTTTCGAGTCGCTCGATCATCAAGGAAGACACCTTTTTTTCGGTTGAATATGTACATTGTACAAAGTGAGTCATCGTTTAATAAAAAAAAACATAACATAGATTTTAATTTTTCAGATTGAAAATTATAGCATTATTCTAATATAAATTTTTAAATGTAATAAACTAAAGGGTAGAAATATCTGAAAAGAATATAATGCTTTATATCGTCAAAGTTTCTTTCGTAAAAATTATTTTTTAGGAATTCTTTAAGTCAACGACCTTAGCAAATCGCAAGCATAGAAAAAATACCGATTGTCTTCTCAAATCCCCGTTCGAATTTAATCTTGATGGACGTAACTTTCGGGTTCTCAACATATCTTCCCTTACCCTTACTTTTTCTCTGTCGCCGTCCTTCTTTATTCCATCTCCCGTTCCTCCTCTCTTTTTTTCACGCGGACGATTTTGTTTGCCACGTTTAACCTGAATGCATCTTTCAGGATATTCCGGGTCTTCGTTGTCGGTTTTTGAACCGGTATCACGTTCTCTTTTTCTCTCTTGCTCTCTCTTTCCACTTTTTCTCTCGCTTACGAAGAGCAGGATTTCTTTGCAGTATTGCCCTTACCTGAAATCATCCCCTACTTTTATCATCTCTATATAGCCCCTGCAGGGATTCTTTTTTATCATTTTTTTTCAACTGGAAGTGATTTTTTATAAATGATCGATATCAGCGCGAGTATATATATGTAGAGAGAGAGAGAGAGAGAGAGAGAGAGAGAGAGAAAGAGAGAGAGAGAGAGAATATCACTTTAATTAATAATCATATTAAGATGTAGTAAAATTCGCGCGTAAGTTAATTTCTTTATATAATAGATATATTATATATATATATATATGATCAACTATATAGTTTAAAAATTGTCTTCTCTGTTTTAATATTAAATACACTTATCTAATTTTTTCTATTTACTGTTATAGCAATGATCAAATGCAAAGGTACAAGTGGGTCAAAGATATAAAGCGAACAAGGGAAACAAAGGTAATTGAAGAAAGCGGCTGTTGCACTAATTACAATCTAGTCATATTATTCTTTTATTTTTACTTTGTTGTCTAAATTAATGTAACACACTATTTTCTCTTGTATAAATGCAAAGGTTCTTAAAAAACGTATTATTTATAAGAATGATGTTGTATCGATATCAATCATCTTTGATGCATCTTTAATGCGATTAGAAATAATGTTTAGAAAGTATACAACAAATGTATTTGCAATTTTTAAATTACGCGGTCTTTTTATTTCATAATTATTTTTTTGTATTTTATTATTCAAGAATTAATACAAGAAGACTATGCTCATACGAAAATAAGGCGCCTGATTGGCAGTTTATTATTTATTCAGGATGCCTTATCTATCTTAACGTCCTTAGATTATTTTCCAACTACTCATTGCATGAACAAATATTTCAAAAAAGTGTTGCACGATTTTGAGGAAGATATATAAAGAGATATGTCACAATATGTGTCACCGTAAAATATGATGTAACTCGTAACGTATTCAACGTTTTCACTAATTTTATCTGAATGCTTTTACACGTGCAGAATAATTAAAATAATCGTAAAAAATTATGTGAATCTATTTGAAACATAAAGATAATATTTAAAGTCTGGAAGCGATTCTATACAAAACGCTTTCCTCGAAATTATTTAAAACGTTCTTTCGATGAAAAATTCATCGATAATTTGAGGTCGTTAAGTTTTCGAAATAGCATCCGTTGATATGTTAAAATTATTTGTGCGTAATAATTATAATAATTTTATATATTATATTTTATTATATTACATTACATTATATTATATGTTGTATTATATCATATTATTTTATATATAATGATTGTACAATAATAATGAGTATACATATATGTATATATGTTAAAAGTGAATTCGCGGTAATTCTATGCAATTCCGGACGATTCCATAGAATCACTGGCTATGTTAATAAATGTAAGTGTTAGCGCTGTCAATATTCAGGATATCCGGATATCTTAGATATTATTCGGATGCTTCATTATAACTATTACAAATAACAAATAATTAACGTAATTATTATTATATTATAATATTATTGCTACATTATTATATAATAATCATTTATAGTGTTACTGTTAGCAGTGGCCAAGTAATTGTTAAACATGGATATATCCAATTATTACCCAAATTCTCATTTAACTGGATGTCAACCGGATTCATTATTTTATTCTGCACTATTTTTTCGAATACAGCATTGGTATTTAAGTAATTAATTTCTCTTTTTTCCTTTGTAGACATTTATTTACTGTGCTTTTATAATTGGTAAAATTTATATATTTTTAATTACATCCTACAATACAAACTTAAAATGATATATAATTATTTAAAAAATTAAAAATATATATAAAGAGAGTATTATTGATTACAACATTCAGAGAATAATGTTACATTGATATTTATTGAAAAATAATATTATTCTTTGATACACTATCGTATTTTATACATTCAATTATCTTTTTTAAGAATATAATTCTGTGTAAAAAGGTTTAATCCAAATATTCATAATTTCATTCTATCCGGTTTCCTAGTTATTTCAAAATAAATTTTGTACACGTAGTATCCGAATAATATCCGAAATATCCAGATATGGCCAGATATCTGAATATAGGCAGCATTAATTATTTCTATATTGCATTGTATGAAAATTATATAAAAGACAATCGGATAAAAAAGTATGTACGATCGAACAAATCGATCAATGACGCTTTGCGATCGGCAGTGCCTTTTGTACATAAAAAACATTGTAATAAAATTCAATGACAATTTGTTAAAAAAATATAACAAATGACGTTACAACTCTATATTATTATTTATCAAGCTACTTAACCTATTTTAATATTTGCGAAACAATTCACACTCATTTACACAGGTACATATAAACTAATTTCACTTACTTTTAAAAATAATTTCAACTTTAAATTTATACAATAGAATCTATCACAAACATATACAAAACTGCAATTATGCAATTGCTTACTCTCTCTTTCTTACTTTATATTTCAAATATATTTATATTTTTGCATTTTAATAAATCTCATAAATATTTTTTGATGACAAAATTTAAATGATTATTCAAACTTGTCATTATCTGAGTTAAAAGTGTGTGTGAATTCAAAGCTTAAATGCATCTCATTTCATCGTAATTATCGACAATTGCATATGTGCAGTTCTGCAGGTGCCAAACATTTTATTTTATTTTTTTGTAACTATAACTTAAGAATATTAATGAAGCGGTTCGAAAGGAGGATATAACACCTGTCATATTTTTTTCCGACGTTATATCAATTTTATTTTAAATATATTCATTGCATATAATAAATATAATTATTGAATATACAATTGCATACATTTTTTTTCTAACGTCTACAAAAATTAAAAATTAATAAAACACAAAATTTATTTATGTGCCATAAAGCAAAGTTAAAGTTTAGTTTCAACTTTTAATTAATTTTCAGTTCAAATCAGATCCGATTAAAGATTGCAAACTAAGATAAATTTGACCAAGGTTATATAATAAATTTTTTAATATTATTTATTTAAAAAAATATGAACAAATGTATTCTACATCTAGTTTAAAATTTACTAAAACTAAATTTGGTCTGGTATAGTACTTTCAATGTTTTATATATATTTTAATATATAGCTATTTGTTTGGAAGTAATATTATTTTTATTTAAATATTAATTGCAAGTTCTGAAAGTAAAAAAATTAAAAAATAATGTTTTCTGGAAGCAAATTGACAAGATTACGACGCAAGAAAGGGCTGATCTCGATTATCCCTTCAGTGTCCCTGTGGTTCTTGAGTAAATAACACGAGGAAATAACAGTAATTTCTGTGTTGCGCGCCCCTTTGCCTCACGATTTTCGAAACCGCAAACAACTTAAAACGGCTGAATTAGTGTTAAAGGTTGCAATGTGTGTCTCACGATTGATTTGCAAAATGCAACGTGTCAATTTGGTACAGTTCGAACTGCAATGCCAGTATATTAAAAGATAAGTAAATATTAATTATCTTAAAAATGTGTATCTGAATCCAAATATAGAATTTTCTAAAAAATATAAATACTTTTGAATTAATATCCTGCATATTTTCTTTTTTTTTATCTTTTACATTGATTTTATAAAATTTAATAATTATATCTTAATTATTTAGGTTTAATACATCGTGTGAAGATTTTACTTACACGGTCGCGTTTCAGTCTATCTTTCCTTATCTACATCAACGAGTTCATGCGAAAACACGAAGAGGAACGGTAATAGATGTTCACGAGAACGGACGATCGAATCCTGTGGGCCTGTTTTACCGGTGCAACAAGTTAAAACGACGAGCTGCTTCAAGGGTGAATTAACTATACGAATCCAGATCCGTCTGGCCGGTAAGGATCCTTGCTAAAAACAACTAGACTCGCTCTCATTGTTATGCGGCTGGTTCTTTCAGATGCTTTCAAATTGGATTTAAGGTTAAACAACAAAGCCTGTTGTATATTGTTGTTCCGTAAGTTCAGTGTGTCTCTTGAATGATAACATTAATCGTTAATTATTGAAAGTTATAGTGAAATTTTCTGAATATAAGTTCCGGCACTTTTAGAGTCTATTAGCAAATTTTTACTAAACTTTTCCGTATTTTTAATTGTTGATAACATCCGTGTTTTGTGAAAGTAACCATTTTGTACTGAAATTTTTATTTTATCATATGTTATAATGTGTCATTCAATTTTTCAGTGCAAGAATCAACGACAATCTTCGCAATTTCTTATCATACGGATTTTGCGATTTATTTTGGCTTTACGATACAACTGCTCACTTGTCCCTAAGAGCGCAGCTGAAAATAATCCGTAGAGATCTGTAATCCACTTCCGAACGAATCCTGTAAAAAAAAAGATAAAAAAATTGACCGTTAAGAGGTCAACTGGCAAAGAAGACGCGCGCGGCACAGAAAAAGCAGCCGCTGCAAACGCGCGCCGCGCTCTCCCACAAAATCCGTTTCAGGGACACTTAAGTTAACACGAAACCCAGCGAGCGAGATTTCAGCCGGGCGCAAGTCGAAAGGAACAAGTCTATAATATATTCTGTTGCGTCGGAGCCGCTCGTCTCCTTCAAGTCCGGTCCTCTCCTCTCGCGGTCGCGCGTCAGCGTTACTCGACTCGCGCGCGCACGTAATGCACGCACGCACGTATACGCAGCGCGACGTACGCGTGTACTCGCGCGGCTACTATATGACCCAACAGGATAATTAGAGGCAAGTTTCCTTCCCAACTCATCCCGAGTCAGCCGGAATCCGGCGCGCTCCGGCGCATAGTGCCGCGTTCTGTTCCGTTAGAAAGAGAGAGTGTGAGAAAGGATGCCGGGGGCTGCCGCATGGAAAGCATTATACCACCTCGGCGTGCTATCGTTTTCTTCGATTTTGCTTCTGGACGCACTCGCCGCACAGCTCCATACGTTACCGGAGATGCACGGAGGGCAAGGGAGAGATGCCGCGGGGTAGCGGCCAAAAAGACGGAGGAGCACTCCGCCAGTCATTAACCCTCTCGCTCCCAAGCTGTTGCAAAACAAGATATTCGTATATTTTTTCACTTACGTGGTGATTGCTTAAGCCCAATTTAAAATGTGTATAATTTGCGATAGAATTTTAAACAGAGAATTCTAGTGCATATTTTCTATTGCCTAACATTATTTTTATATATGTATTGTCGAGAAAGTGGACTTAAAAAATGTATACACCCATAAATATCTATATACAAAATCATTGATAAATTGATAAATGTAACATGATCTCATATAAATATAAGCATATAATGTTGCAGGATAGAACAATAATACACTGTGCCAGTGATAGATTGCAGAGTATTCAGGTCCCTCCGCACAATGATAGCCGCAAGTTACAGAAGGACTTAAGTCACGAAAGGACTTAAGTCATCGATATAGTCATGTTTGGTCGCCGGAAATCATCAGCCGTTCCGGACCGGCTTTTCGACAGCCGCGAAGAGTGAGACGTGACACACGCGCGTGAGTGGCGCACGCGGGCGGGCGGTCGTTTCATTTCACTTCGATTCCATTTAGTCATTCAAGCTTGGCTTTTCAAGTTTGTGAGATGAGGCCGGGGGGGATGTTATGAGCGAAGGACGGGAAAAAGAAAGAAGCGAGAAGAAGACTCGTGCCCGCTCGCGTCTCACGGATCCGACACGAGTGAATGTCGTGGTCGTGAACGTGGGTGGTCGGCCGAATAGCATCCCGGGAAACGCGTTTTGGATGTTGCGTCTCTTCAGGGGAGGAATTCACGTGCGACCAAAGATGGTGGAATGAGATATACCGCGGGTCCCGGGATGAAACCGATGATCGCGCGCTGATCGCCCTCGGCGGACTCGGCATCCCGGCTGCCGCTGAGATCGTCTACGATCTCACGTTGACGTGCTTGCACGCGTCGCCACGAGATTCAGATTAGGCGAAGAGAATCACAAATATTCTGACTGCGATGCGATATTGATATCAAGATTTTAATCTTTATAAGCTTGGCTAATTTACGTTTAAAGCCCGCTTTAGACCATTAATAATTCGCGTTGGAATTCGAGATAGACATTTAGTGTGATGTCTTCTTCTTCCAGTAATCTTACGTAACAGAAAACATTTAAAAATTAGAATATACACGCATACAAAATACATATTATTTAATTTTTTAGTTCTATCGCGAACTATAGAT